CCACCCTGTGCATCCTGGCACACCTGGACAGGAATCTGTGTGTTGGCAGATGAATGTGGCAGGTGGGGGGTCATCGAATGTTCACTCTGCGCCAAGTGATAAGCGAAGACCTTTGCAAACATTCCATCCAGCTTTATGTAAAGAGCATTTTACAGACTGAGGCTCAGAGACTCTGATGACTTACCCAAGGTCATCTGGCTGGGGCACGGGGGAGCGGAAAGCTGGCTGGACAGACTGGCATCCACTGGACTCATCCTGGGGCCTGTCCCTCTCATCAGCCCCACCAGAGCCACGTGATCAGGGACTCCAGCAGCCATGACACCTGCGAAGCAGGGATCCTTTGTGCTGGAGTGAAATGATCCTTGAAGAAATGATCACCCGCTCCCTTCACTACCTCCGGAGACCAAGTCCTCGCCGATTTTTTCCCTTCTTTATCTCAAGTACATTTAAATGTCAATTAAATTTGAAATATCTACATTTGTCAGCATTTCATTTTGGGCCAGCGTGACGTGCTGCTGATTTGTCCACGCGATGTGACACATGAAAAAAACTCCCGAGATGCAGATCTTCCTCATTAAAAAATAAGCCCGTGCGATCCCGGCGCGGCAGAGAGCCACAGAGCACGTCCCCGCTTCCTGACGCCGTGTCTCTGACATGGTATTTAAAAAGGAACAGCCGCGCCTGTCACCACTGTCACATGCGCGCGCCAACCGGCGACACGTTAAACCAAACATTAGAAAGGGTTCGGGAAGTCATCTGCATGGGAGTCTGTGCCGAGACGGGGTAGGCAGAGGCGGGAGCTGCGTGGAGATGATGGGGTCTGGACAGTGATGGACAGCAGGCCTTTCTTTCCCGCCAAGGCTCCAGCAGCCCTCGCCGGGTAGCCAGGCTCGCCATGACCTGCCTTCTCGCAGACAGCAATTTGTGTATAATAAAATCCAGGCAAGTGGTGGGTGGCAGACTGCAGGGTAGTAGCTGAATTGGGTTAATGAGGGAAGAGGTACACTTTTTTCCCCCCCCATATTCTGCCTTAAGCTAATAAAAAATTTAAACCTGGACATTTTCGACGGTTCATCCTTTATCTCTGACAAATATCTGACTGTATGTTTCATGGGAGAACATGAGCAGTTGAATTTAAATAGGTTTATTTTGAAACCTCACCTTTTATTGAAGGTGGGAGGGGAAACCCCCTACGCCCATTTCATTGTTTCAGATCCACAAAAGGAAAGAGGCAGGATGGCAAAGTGGTTCGGAGCCAGTGAAATGCAGAGTCCCGGGCCCGCCGTCAGCTGCTGTGTGACCCTGGACTGGCAGCTCCCTCTCTCTGAGCCTCGGCTTCTTTATCTGCAGAATGAGGGTGCGATGGGAGTTCGCGAGAAACTTCGGCAGCGCTCAGCTCAGCGCCGTAAGCACCGCTGGTGTCCCCATCGCCCGCCCTGCGCCCGCGCCTGGCCCCGGAGAGCTCTGCTCAGACCAGACCTCAGGCCGGAGTGTCCCCTGAGAGCCCAGCAGTGATCGGGAGATAGGCCTCTTGTCGCAGCCACTGCCCAGCCAGCCTGGATGGCAGGAGAGCCGCCGGAGCGAGCTGGACTTCGGGGCTCTCTCCCCCTCTCATCCCAGCCCGCTCCCGGACACGCCAGTGTGGGCAGGCGCAGGGTTTTATCCGTGACTGACGAAGCCAAGGGCCCTTTGCTCTCGCGGTTCCAAGCACTCCTGGCAGGTTTAGGCGTTTGATTCGTGTGCCAAGCTGTGGCCTCTGCTTTCTTATCACTGTGGGGGGCGGGGCGTGCGTGGATGGCTGTTGGGACGGCATTCAAGGTGGACTTGAGGGCCTCCCGTGTGCCTCGAGGTCCATCCCCTCCTCCACCCACCACCAGCCCGGCTGACAGCAAGGCGAGGGGCTGGGCTGTCATCCCTGCTTGTCACTTCCCGGCAGGGTCACTCGGCCACATCCTCTCCTTTGCCAGGACTCCAGTGCTCCGCTAGCACCCAGGAAGGGCCTCTTGGTTGGGCACATGGCTGGACACACGGACAGATGGACCAGTGACAGTCTCACTCTATAGAGTCATATTTGGAGACCTCACCTTCCTGCTCGGCTGTTGGGAAGGGTAGAAATAGCCTCTGTGAGCCCCTGGCACGGTGCCTGCCTGTGGATATTCTGTGAAACATTTGTCTGAAGCTCCCACCTGCCCCACCCCCCAATGTGTTCCCAATCTACGGGTCTCAGAGTCTCAGAGGACAGATGGACAGATGGGATGCTCAGGGCGGGGACCCTTTAATTCTGCAGCCACAGGCTGGTGGAAGGGACCGCGCTGTGTTGGGGCTCCAGGAAAAGGGAGTGAAATGGGGGAACCTTTCTCCCTCCCACACTGGCTTCCATTCATTCAGTCGTAAACTCTGATGGTGCTCATGCTGTGCCCCTGGTGTGGATAGAGAATGAGCCAGACCCTGCCCTTGAGCCAGAAATAGAATTGCAAGAGGTTCAATGGTCTCCGTGAAGCGGTGAAACACGCAACCCGTGGAGAAGCTGACGGCCGAGGGAGAAGACCACGGCTGGAGCTCCCGGAGGACTCCTGAGCGTGCCATCGGGCTGAGTCTTCAGGAGCAGGCAGCGCCCAGGCAGACAGGCAGGCCAGGCGGAGGGCAGGAGGCCGCACAGGTGGGCAGGGCCAGCTCCGTGTCCGCCCTGCGTGGAGCTGAACTTGGCATTGCCACTCTGCAGCCCTCACTCCGCCCATCTGTACGCCATCCACAGAGGTCTGAACACATTATTCCCGATGCCTTTCTCAGTGGGTTTACTCACCACCCAACCCATCGCCATGAAATGGCGGTTCAGAGCAGCAGATTCGCGGGCGTGAAGCAGGCCAGTGACAGGGTGGGTTTGAGACTTGGAACAGGAACAGGATCCGGTGGCTATGTGCAGAGCGGCCCTTCTCTTGCTCCTTGTTTTGTGTCTCTGGAGGAGCCGGGCACCTTGTCCTGCAAGTGAAATCTTCCTGCCCCCTGAATCCGGGAAAGTGCCCGACTGAGCGACGCTCTCCAGTCCAGGAAGGACCGAGGTGTGTCCCTGCCCCCTGGAGGCGACCTGGGAGGAGAGGAGAGGGGCCTCACCCCCTCCCCGGGTGCGCCCGGAGGAAGAATGGCTCCGCCTGGCTGACTTCCAGGGAGGAGGAGGGAGGCAGGGGCCAGGGGTGCCAGCTGGGGCCGCTCCCTGCTCCTTCTGAAAGAATAGCGTGTTCCCGTAACACTGGTTGCAGACCATAGCCCCGCACTCACCCTCCAGCGAGGTTCCCATGCATTTCTTAGACATGTTATGTTCTCCTGGAATAAAACCTCAACGGAATTGCATCACATAAAGCAAAGAAAGGAGACTGCTGTGGTTGGGGGGGGGGGGGGGGAGATAGCCCCCCTCAGGTGTCTCCTACCCACCCTCTCCCCAAACTTCAGCATTGCCCCTGGGGATCCTCTGCACGTGCCCAGCCTCTGTACAGGGCAGGGACATGGACCACCCGCTCCCAGCTGGATGCCCAAGCATCAGCCTCAGGGTTGAGATTCGAACCAAGGTCTGACCGGCCCAACTGCCCTCCCTCTAAGCACAGGCTCTCGTAGGCCCTGGCCCATGTAGAACTCACAGGAGCCGGCATGGAGTTTCTCTGGGCTGTGCTGATAGAGGCAGAGCTCACAGGTGGCTGACAAGAGAGATGTATTTTTTATAACGATGAATATTTAATTTATGCATCACAGATGACAAAGACTCTCTGAAGAGCCACCTGAGGAAGACGCAAGAGCGGCCGCTCACCTGAAAGGGCGCTTGAGCTCTCCTCCACATGGCGCCCTGCCTGCCTCACCTTTTTTCCCTGATTATTGAAATAGATGTGCACGTTGTAGAAAACTTAGAAGACACAGAAAAATAAAAAAATAAATAAAAAACTGCTCCAGTCACTTGTGTAGACGTTCAGACACACCTTTCCAGCCTTTTTTCTAAGCACTTCCCATCGGCAGACGAGAGAGAGTGCGGTATAATTGCATCCTGGTTTTTAGGTTTTTATAAACATTTTCTTTATAAATGGATTCATGCACAGTGAAAGGAAATTAATTGGAAGGTGGCCGGCAGGGTGGGACTGGGCAAGATGGGATGAAAACACCCTAGAGTAGGGGTGTCGAACTCAATCAGAGAAGGGGCCAAAATCTAAAATCCAGCCTAAATCGCGGGCCGAATGGTTTACTGAACAGTCATAAACTGTCATTGTGATGGAAACACAGCGGAGTGCAGTGATGACAGCGCGGTGCGGGCCACATTGCAAGGCCTGGCGGGACGGATTTGGCCCGCGGGCCTTGTGTTTGACACATGTGCCCTAGAGCCAACCTCCCCGGCCAGTGCACTTGGGCCGGTGTCTGTGGGGTTCCTTGGCCTGGCTTGCAGGGATTAGGCCAAAACTGGCAGTCCAACATCCTCCAAGGGGTCCCCGAGTGCAAGAGGACACTCTGCAAAGTTGCTGTCGCTCAGCAGCTCCTTCATTGAGCGTCTGCCCCCTGGTGGTCAGTGTGTGTCATAGCTATCAGCCACGTCGGCCAGTTGCTTGGGCTTTTATATATATAGTTTCTGGGAGGCAGCCACCAGGGCCATCATTCACTTCACCAGCTTCCTGTTGCTCTATGTGTAGATTGTTTCATGTCTTAATATCACAAACATGGCAGTGAGGGGTACTGTGGGCAATCTTGGTCATGTTTAGGGTTAGCTAGATGGCAGTGGGATTGTCAGGTCAGAGGTGACTGGATTGTGTGTATAAGGCTCTTGACACGTGTGGCAAACACACAGTTGCTTTTCTGTTTGGGACCAGCTTCCTTACCTCAGGGGCCTGCCTGCTCCCATGCCTCCGGCTTCTCTAGGGAGCCTCCACTGAAGGCTGCAGCGGGAGGCCAGGCCCCGTCCCGCCCCACCCCGTGGAGTCTTAGGGTGCCTCCTAACTGTTCTCTTCTCTTGTCTTCCTCTGCCCCAGCCTGGTAAAGCCCTTGCAACACTATGCCGTCTTCCTCTCCGAGGACTCCTCTGACGATGAAAGCCAGCGGGAAGAGGGCCCGAGCCCTGGCTTCACCGAGAGCTTTTTCTTCTCCACCCCCTTTGAATGGTCTCTCCTTCCTTCTTCCCTTCCCTGAGCTGGGCTGGGTGGTTCCAGGGCCTGGGGGAGGGGGTGGCCAGGGCTGCTTGCCCTGTGTGGGGAGGGTGTCTAGAGATGCTGCCTTCGGTGCCCCAATGCCAACCTGGAGGGCAGATGTTACCTCTGGGTGTTCATTGTGCCAGCCCCAGAGGGCATGAAGCGAACAAGATGGCAGGAGGGATGGGGTGTGAGGCAGTAGCAGGGGTCCCCACTCTTTATACAGGGAAATGTGCTTGATTGTAAATGGAATTGGTGGCCTCAATGAGCCTTGTGGTGATGCTCAAGGCCTTCATCTCAGCACGTCTTAGAAAGCCACAGAGATGGAGGGTCAAGTTTAAAACAAGAAAAGCTTATGGGATGTGTGTATTAATGCTGGCATATGCAAACATTTTACTGATCCATCTGACTTTAAAATAATTTTATCATTGTTATGTATAGCTAAGCCTCCTACTGATTATGAATTGGAATAAAAAAGAAGGTCTACCACAATCCAACTATCACCCCAAATTAAGCTTTTCTAGGCCCCTTTTTTCCAATTCTTGCCCCTCTGCCCACTGGTTTTCCAGAGCTGGGATTGAGCAATGGATAGCATTTGTCAGTGTTTGTTAACAAGTTGTGGTGTTTTAATGGGACCCTTTAAGGGAAGGCACCTGCCCTTTGCTGAAACCCAGCAGCCCACGTGACCCCCAGGGAGTGAGTTTATAGAAGAGGGGATTCTTCCCCCTCTCCCTGCTCCGGGCGCCTGATAACCATGGCTCTGCTTCTGCCCTGTGCCCCACCCCAGGGGGATGGAAGGAGGGTTCTGGCCTTTTCTGACACTAGCTCACCTGGGACACAGGCACACCGATCCCCTTCCTTAGAAAGGGGTGGCCTTCGCCAGTATTGGCCCAAGCTTCTCAGGCCACCTTTCCATTCAGTGACTCTTTTTCCTTAAATTTTTTTTAACTTTTTAAAATTGTCTTGTCCATAGCAATAGTATCTATCATACTACAGGCTTAATGTATCAGCTGTTATTTCTACTAATTAAGAGCTACTGGAATAAGAAATGTTCAACCAGGTGCCAACCTTAAAAACCACCTTCCAGGTAAAGGCACTCTAGGTGACATCCAAGGACCCCCGACGCACACACACCGGAGTCCAGCAGGCCCATGTTCTCTTAAAACAAATAGGTGCCAACAGTATTTATTTGTTTGTTTGTTTGTTTATTTATTTATTTATGTGCCTTAAATATTCAAATAATGGCTACGCTCATTCCTTTAACCAAGACCTATGAGAATGCAGGCTTTTGTGCATGTTTACACAAAAACTGGCCCATCTTAAAACAAATGGCTTCTTTTCGTTAGTATCAATACTATTTCCTTAAGTGTATGGAGCACATTGACTTTTCTTTATCTCCTTCTTTGTGTTCAAACTTGATTAAAGGGACTTTACTTCCTTGTGCAGATATCGCTTAGTCATTAAGCGAGGGACTTTTAAATTCTCTCCTACTTAGGTTCCATTTTTACCTCTTACAAAGTGCTGTGTGACATAGGGTAAGTAACTTAGCCTCTCTGAGCTTCAGCTTCCCATCTATGAGATAGGGGTTTGGCTGCTTGTGTTGTTTTAGTAAGATGGTATTGGTTCATGGAGTCCTTGCCAAGAGTCCAGACTATTCACTGAGCCCCCTCCTTCCACTGTCTCCTGCCTGGTTCCTGCAAGTGAGCTGTTGTCACCACCAGGTGGCCACCTTCCCCCACTTCATTAGGATCATGGGCGGCTTCTGCCTGACCCAGAGGGCCCAGCCTTATTGTTAGAGGAGGTGGACACTGCTCTGGTCCGGGCTCCACGAGAGGTCAGGGTTTATCCCGCATCATCTGCACATGCGCAGAGGTGCCCTGGGGCTCAGGCATGTGAGAAAGGAACCCTTTTCACTGAGCAGGAGTCCAGCTGCAAGGTTCTGGTGCATGAACGTACATGATGCCATTAGCCTCTGCATGCCCGCTGTGCACCAGGCACCACTCACCTAATGCCCACCACTGCCTTCAAGGGAGGTGCACTCTGGAACGGGGAAGCCATTGAGGCTCAGAGAGGATAAGGGACTTGCCCAAGGCCCCACAGCAAGAGATGGCACCATCAGAGCTGGAACCAAGGTCAGCCCAAGACTCCCCCTGAAGATCATGGGGTGTGCTGGGCAGCTGCCCTCAGGAGTTTCCCCGACTCAGTTCCCAAAAGCTGCTCCAAGACCTGTCTGCCAAAGCTTAGGACTGGGTCTGCCTGCCTGTTCCCTTTCCAGTCGGGTCCTGTTCCTTCTGTCTTGTCCGAATGGCTTGTAAGTCCACCAGCCATTTATCTGATGGGTCCTACAGTTTGGGAGGAACTTGGTGAGTCCCCCAGTGCCAGTTAGAGCCAAAGTGTTTGCCCATGTTCCCACTGTGATCAACAGAACTCACATTTAGCCCCAGGTCTGTCAGATTGCCACTGCCCAGACTCCTGCCCTCAGGACACTCTCCTGTCCCCAAGGCTCCTGGGCGGGAGCCTTAAGACTGGAAGATGAAGGTGGGGACTGTTTGCTCCTCCCACGGGGGCTCTGGGGGGAGAATCCAGCCTGCTCTGTCTGCTCTTCCCAGGCCACAGCCCTATCGGACACTCAAGGAGTCGGACAGCGCAGAAGGCGAGGCAGAGAGTCCCGAGCAGCGAGCGAGAGAGCCCGTGGGCCCTGCCCCAGCTCCACCGGACCGGGCGGCCAGCGTCGACCTCCTGGAAGACATCTTCAGCAGCCTGGACATGGAGGTGCCACTGCAGCCCCTGGGCCAGGCCAAGAGCCTGGAGGACCTTCGAACTCCCAAAGACCTGAGGGAGCAGTCAGGCACCTTTGACTATCAGGTACGGGGGAGGCGGGACGGGGGCGGGCCTGCTGGGACTGGAGCTTTCACACATGCTGCAGGTCCCCTCATGTGACGGAGGAAAAAGCAGCTTCTCCAAGTCCTCGGCCAAGGCCCAGGATCGGTCTCACTGCAAACCCTGCCAGGAGGGCCAGCGCCCCCCCCTCCCATCCCCCCTCAGTGATCACTGGGGAAGATGCTAGGCTGATGGAAGTCGGTCCCACTTCCATCTGTGCCCAGGCCGCTCTCTCCAGCACCCCACCAGGAGAGACTGGATCAGAACTGCCGAGTCCTGGCCTGCCACTGTGACCTGCACCCTGTCACATGCCCCTCAGTGCCTGTTTCTTCACTGGCCCATGGGGCTGCTGACAGGGTCACATGGGGAACTCGCTGAGCTCCCACATATCCATGACTCACATGCACCCCTCAGGCCAAGAGAAGGGAGGTGAGGCCAGGCGTGGAGCTGGGGAGTGGCTGAGTGGGGCCCTGAGCCCAGCCCCAGACCCCAGCCAGTGTGCCTTCGCCCAGGCCCTCGCCCTCCTGAGCTCACAGGTGACTGAAAGTGCCCATACGTTTTGAAAAGTAAAAAGGGCCCAACAGGTGATGGTCAGTGAATGAGTCCTTTCTCCTAAGACTACTTGGCAACCCAGCTTAAGGGACAAGGGCTGCCTCAGGGACCCTTCGTGCCATGCAGAGCAGCTGGGCTTAGAGTCCTGCCGCCCCCGGGCTCTTTGCTGGTGACCAGGCTGAGACCCGAGCTGCTCTGTGTCCCAGGGGGCTTACCCGACCCCTGCCCAGCACATGGGCGGGGGGTGGGGGAGTGTGCTGCCTTCCCGTCTGTCCCGTCAGCCTGTGGTCACTGCCTCCCCTTCCCTCCTACAGAGGCTGGACCTGGGCAGAGGCGACAGGAGCCGTGGGATGCCGCTGGCCTTGAGGCTCACTCACCCCTACAACAAGCTCTGGAGCCTGGGCCAGGACGACATGGCCATCTGCAGCAAGCCCCAGGCCCCCTCCCCCGAGGAGCCCTCTGCCCTGCTCGGCAACGCCCCGGCCCTGCTGCACAGACCCCAGAACCGGGACAGCATCCTGAACCTCTGCGACAAGGAGGTGGCACCCGTTCCTGCTCCGGGCAGTATCACCATTCCCCGGCCACAGGGCAGGAAGACCCCAGAGCTGGGCATCATGCCCCCACCGCCCACTGCCCGCCCAGCCAAGCTCCCGTCCGCCGGGGCCGCCCTCGATGACTTCTCAGAGTGGCTGCAGGCCGAGCCGGACAGGCGCCCGGCCCCGCTCCCCAGTGCTGCCCCCCAAGGCCCCAGCAAACCGCTCCAGCCTCTCAGCCTGGCCCCGGGGGCTGCGGCCACTGGCAGCGATGCCCTGCTGGCCCTCCTGGACCCACTTAGCACAGCCAGGGCGGACAGTATCCTTCCACCAGGCCCTTCAGCCCCAAATGTAGCTACCCCCTTCACCCCCCAGTTCAGCTTCCCCCCCGCAGGGACCCCCACCCCATTTCCACAACCGTCGCTCAACCCATTTGTCCAGTCTGTACCAGCGGCACTGCCCGCCGTGTCCCTGGTCTCCACGCCGGCCAGGCCTTTCGGGGTCCCTCCTGCTTCCCTGGGCCCAGCTTTTGCCCCCAGCCTCCTGCTGTCCAGCTCTGGCTTCTGCCCCCCACATAGATCTCAGCCCAACCTGTCTGCCCTCTCCATGCCCAATCTCTTTGGCCAGATGCCCATGGGTGCCCACACCAGCCCCTTGCAACCACTGGGCCCCCCAACAGCTGCCCCTTCAAGGATCCGAACGTTGCCCTTGGTCCGTTCAAGTGCCAGGGCTGCTGAGGCCAAGCAGGGGCTGGCCCTGAGGTCTGGAGACGCCCCCCTCGTTCCTCCAAGACCCGCCCAGGGCCTGGAGCCAGCACTGCAGCCCTCTGCTACTCAGGAGGCCAGAGACCCCTTTGAGGATTTGCTGTGGAAAACCAAGCAGGACGTGAGCCCGGCCCCGGCCCCGGCCCCGGGCTCCGTGGAGCAGCTTAGGAAGCAGTGGGAGACCTTCGAGTGAGCCAGCACTGAGGCCGGCGGGGTGGCCAGGCCCAGCAGGGGCTGTGCGCTGCCCCGCTCCCGGCCAGCGGCCCTGCTTTTCCTGCAGCTCCGATCTACCCAGGCTCTGCTGGTGAGGAGGGATGGGACCCTCTCTGCTCCCCTCCCCCGCCCCCTCCCCAAGGAGGTCTGGCCTTTGGGAATTGGGAATCGACCCCCTGGGCGCCCATCCCACCTGCCACCACCTCTCCCCAGCACCCCTGTTGGGTTTTGCACTAAAAAGTCAGCTGGGCCAATGACTGCCCCAGACCAGTCCAACTCGCTTTCCCTCTGGAAACCTCCAGGCCTCTCCTCCCAAGCCCTGTTCTGTCCTGCCTGGCCCGGCCCTGGACACCCACTGCAACAGGCACAGGTGTCAGTGGTACCCGCAGCCTGAGTTTGTCTGCGAGACACGTGGTTTGGAGTTTGAAGTGGGATCCATTGGCGGAGCATTTCCAGCCCTCTAGCAATACACACACTGGTTCTCGTGAGTCTGCGCCCCAAACTTCAGCTGTTTCTGGCTTGGTTGCGAGTTGGGGGGTGAGAGATCCTCGCGATCCCTAGTGATAGCCAACCCCAGCCCCGCCAGTCTGGTGTGGGCTGGCAGCTCTGATTTGTAGACGGAGAAATAGCGGCAGATTAATCTGAGTGCAGGAGGCAGGCCATTGCCAGCGCTCTCCCTTGATCCGTGTGGGTTCTCCTGGTCTTGTGTTTCTATCTAATGGGGCTCAGCTTCTTGTCTTGGGGGATTTAGGGGCAGAGCTGAGCAGCAGGCACCATTCCAACTGGAAGGCCAGTTGACCCAGGAGTTCAAGTGCCCAGGGTCAGGAAGGAGCGGGCACTGTGCCCCCCTCCAGGCCCGAGGAGGGGAGTAGCAGCCCAGAGGGAAGGAGGAGGGCTGGAGCACCTGCCCTGCCCCCTCGCAATCTCGCCAGCAAAGGAATTCCTAAGGCCAATGTCACCAAAGCTGAATTGATGTTTTGTTATTGTTTCTTTTTTCCTTTTTACTTTATTGATTTAATGAATCTTGAAATTGACTAGTTTCAATAAACCAAGTTGAAATGTGACCCAAGCATTTAAGCAAACAACCATCTGAGACATGCAGGAAATTGTGAGCATTTTGACCTGATTTCTCATTTCCTATTCGTGTTGGCCAGACCATCTCAGAGGTATCTGATGGGCAAGGTCTCTGGAGGTCCCCAGAACCCCGGGGAGCCTTGCTGGTGACTGAGGGCCTGGGAGGCCACCCCTGGGTGGGTGAGGGAGGCCTGGCCCTGAGGTTCTCTCTGACGAGGGGTGTGAGGAGCTGCTGGTCCCGCACACAGCTCCCTCCAGAGCCAGCCACGGCCCCTCCTCAATCTCCCAGCGTCCTGGCTGCTTGGGAGAGGGGTGGGGAAGGGGTGCCAGGCGGGACTGTGAATGCAGCCAGAACACTCAGGTATTTCTGTAGATTCCAGTTCTGAACCCCACTGGAGACAGGGCAGCCCGCCCGGTGGGCCTATCCAAGCCATACTGGTGGCCCCGGGAAGCGGAGCCCACCGTGGTCTCTGGCTGCTGGGGCTGGGGGCTGCTCCTCGTTCCCATGAGCGAACCAGAGGAGGAAGTCCGTGTGAGCGTTCAGTAAGAGCTCCTGGGGGAGAGGGCTGGTATCCCCGTGTCCTTGAGGAAGGGAGGGAGGGAGGCGTCAGCATCTTCAGGACCCCTTCTGTGGAGGCGGGGGCCGGGCTCGGCGGCCAGGGAAGGATTTGACCCCTGGCCCACTCCCAGGCTTGTTCTCATTCAGGCCTCTGAGCCAACTCCGCCTCTCCCCTCCCAAGCAGGGCATCAGGTCGGCTGGTCCCAGGCCTGCTGAGTCCCCAGAGTAGGGCTGCGGGTCACCCGTGGTGCAGAGGGTGCCCAGGAAGGAACAAGTTCAGGGATATCTGTAGGTTTTCCCTCCAGATCTCACTAGCGAGGAGGAACCTGGGCCCCGGAAGGCTGCTGGTGTGGTATCTGTGTTACAAAGGGAGATACAGCCAGAGTGGGTGATAAGCACACCCATTATCTGTCCCCTCCCCCGCCCCAGGCTGCCTGGAGAATGACAGGTGCCTTAGGAGCAAAGAGGAAACCAGGGGGCTCCCCCTAAAAAAGAGTGGCCCAGATTTGATATGTTGGGGTTCCACATAAAATACCCATTTTTAGGGTTCCATAGGAACAAAGGTTGGCCAAATCCTAACCACAGCATTGCTGTGGCTCCATGGTTGGTAAACCATGGGGAAAGGTGGCCCCCCTATTGCAAGGTGAGCCCCTTTCCCGAGTGTTCACGGCCCTTCCCACCAGCCTCTGCCACCTGCACCCTCTTCTCCAGCCCCTCTCCCATCACCCCGGCTCCACCTCAGATCTGCCTGCCTCTCAGGAGTGGGTCAGGTGACCCTCTCAAAGTGTAAGGGGCGTCCTGGCCTTGGCACGCTGGCACGGGAGGCACTGGCCTGGACACAGGCCGGACGGAAGGGCTGGAAGCTCTGCGGAGGCCACGCACTCAGACAGGTAGGTTCCCCTTGGGGATCAGACCCGTGTGAGGGCACCACCGAGGAGAAGAGGGGAAGCAAAGTGCCTGCATGTGCGACTCAAGACCAGCCGACCGGCGGCACCAGCACACACCAGGGCCTCCCGCGAGTCCTCCCCGGGATTCCAGAAGCCTTCAGAGAGGGCCTGGGCTGCAGGTGAAGGAGTAGTCCCGCAGAAGAGCTGGGAAACCCAGAGCTGGGAGGAGGAGGGCTGCTCCTCCATCCCCGTCACCCCCGGGGAGGCCTCTCCCCCAGTCTTTCCCGCAACTCCTGACCCCTAAGAGGACAGCAGACAGCCTTCACTGCAGACAGAGGTGAGTGACTTCAGCATCCCGCCTCCGCGCCTCTGCCCTGACTGTGGTCTGTCCTGCAGACAGGCTCTGAAGCAGCGTTTGTTCAGGGAGCCAGGAGCCCTGGCCACTGGCTATGGCCTCCCCGATTCCCCAGCCGCCTCCAGAGGGAGATTGGGAGCTGGGGCCTGCAGCCTTGCCCCAGCCCCGGCCTGACCTCCACGAGAGTGTGCGGCCTTGGCTTGCCCCTGTCCGAGCGGTGAAGGTTGTCCCTGTCCCCCAACTGTCCCCTCGTGGGATGGCCTGCACCCACTACAGTCCCCTGCACACACAGCAAAGACGTCGACATGCCCATGAGCCCAGTCCAGCACACACACCCATATCTGCAGATCAACAGTCCCCAGGTACACGCCCATACTGTGCACACATGTGTACACATACACACACACACACACACACCTGAACACACCCTGTGCACCGCGTGTGCCCTGCACAGCTGCACAGCTGCTGAGGCACGGCCCGGTGGGTCCGATGGATTTGTCCACCCTGGCCAGGCCCTCTCTGCTGCCCTGAGTGCCCCCCTTTCCCTCAGTCCACGGAGGAACAGAGGCAGGGGGTGCCAGCAGAGGGGACATCATCCCAGCAGGTATGCTGGGCCCTGCAGCAGCTCCCCAGGCCTGGGAGGGGCAGCACGTGCCAAAGCCTCCCGGAAGCGGCCTCCGAGGTCTCCAGGGGGAAACTGTCCGTGGCCTCAGGTGCGGCGCGGGCAGCAGGCCTAGATGAGTCTCTCCTCGGGCGGCACCTTGAGGACACTGTCCATCTCCAGCCGGGCGCCGGCCACCTCCTGCTGGCTCGGGCTGTAGGTGCCCTCTGACTGGCGGCGCTTCCTGGCCGCCAGGATCCCTGAGAGGAGGCCCAAGAGGAGGAGGAGGAGGCAGGCGCAGGCTGCAGGCACTGCCACCTCCAGCAGCGGGAACGGCAGTGGCAGCGGCAGGTCCTTCTGCAGGAGACAGGACAAGGAGGCCTCAGGTAAGGGAGGGGCAGGAGAGAGCAAAGGGGGCACAGGACTCCAGTCCGAGCTCAGCGTGGACGGCACAGAACCCTCACACCACACGGTGAGGCAGCAGGAAGAGCATCCCTCACTCCCGGGAGCTCAGAGTCTGGTTTATTTATTCCCCAAAAAGCTGGGAGCAGGGCCTGCATGTGAGGCACGCGGTGGGTAGGAGGTGAGAAAGCAGGCTTTGCCCAGACTCCCCAGACGCGGGACCAGTTGGTGGCAAGCCAGGACTGGCACTTCTCCATCTGCCCCCAACACCACGCTGCCACCCTTCAGCTCTATGTCCGGTCAAGGCCCTTCTGTCCGAGGCCAGGGTGGGCCGCAGTGCCCAGCCCTGCCATTTGGCTCCTCCCGACAAACTCGCTCAATCTGCGGCCATGGGGACTTGCTCCCTCCCCATCCTGCAGGGAGGCCCGGTGTTTGAAAGTGGCCATGGAGACCAGGCTCAACCCCAAAGGGGGAGAACCTAGGCAACAGCCGGAGAGGCTGACTGACGAGCTGATGGCGAGCTCAGAATCCAGCAGGGCCTTCCCCACCCCTGTCCTCACCTCCATGGAAGCTAGACCAGGCTTTGGGAGGCCCTCCTCTCAATCTCCCAGTCCCCCAGGGTTTCCCCATCAAGGATTCTGCAAGGCTCGAATTCTGAAGTTCCGGAATCACAGAAATCCGGGATTCCAGAGCCAGGGGTCTCCCTCTGAGACCTGGGTCCCAGGCCCAGCACACCTGGAGAAGGGTCCGAGGCTGCAGATAAAGGGGGCCCTCACCAGCCGCCACCCAGCACTTCTGGGGGAGTTGTAAAGCCATTATCTCCCTGGGCTCTGGGAAGGGGGGTGGGGAGTCAGGGGCTGTAAAAGTTCCACTTGAAAGGAAGCAGTCCCCAGAAGCAGAGGGAATGTGCAGGTTTATGGCCCAGGCTGCCAGAAGCCTGCGGAGATCAAGGCTCCTGCCCAGACTTCCCTGCCCACCTCCCCTGCCGCCAGCACCCACTGTGGGTTCATGCCTGCAGGGCCAGCTCCGCCCCTCAGGGGAGCCCTCCAGAGGGAGGGTCAAGCTCAAGCTGCCCTTGGGCCCCTCTGCAGCGGAGTGTCCTGGGATCAGGGGCCACGCTCGCTCCGGCTCAGAATCCTGGGCTCCCCGAATCTTCCTACTCCACAAACCCCCAGAGGACACAGCCTCTGCACCAACCTAAGTCCCTGAGTTCCAAGATCCTGTGGGTCCCGAATCCTGCCCCAAATCGGGCTTGATGGAGCCCAACTACTTGACCGCCAGGCCCCAGCGTGATGGGTGGGGACCTCGGGGCTCTCCCGGGAGTGAAAATGCCTCCTGGGTGAGGGTCATGGAACGGACTGGGTCTCCCCTGCTGCCGCCCACCCCACGACAGGCTGGTCCAGCAACAGCTCCAAGTGCGGCACCACCACCACCACCACCACTCCCCACCCCCCAACATCATCTCATAAAGTCCCAAACCCCACAGCCTCTGGCACACTCACCACCACTTCACAGAACGGGCCTGAGAACCTTGCGCTGCAGACGCATTCGTACGCCCCAGCGGCCGCCCGGCAGGTGCCCCCATTCAGGCAGGGGTTGTTGGCTTCACAGGAGAGCTGACACCTGGGAGGCAGAGAAGAGGGTGGGGGGAGGAACCTGCTTCCTCCCACGTGGCCTCTTGCTCCCCAGCTGCCATCCTCAGCTCCTCCAGCCCCTTCCCAGGCACTGAAGCTCCTCCATTCACTGTCTCCGCCTGGCCGGACCCTGCCGGTGCCGAGGCTGAACGAGAGCTCCATCACCGGCTGCCGCCTCTGCCCCGGCATTCATGACCGAGAATGGCTCACTCCACCAGCACAGGAGGGCCTGTGTGAGGCCCGGTGATGCTGACTCTGTGTGCAGCAGGCCCAGAGCCTGCCCTCTCACAGCCTCCCCTGGCGGCCCTGGGGCAGGTGGCCTGTGCAAGGGGCTCCAGGAAACACCACCAAGCAACCCCTTCCCTGCAGGGTCTGCAGAGCAGAGGGGGGCAGCCCCACAAAGTGACCGAGGGGGGCTGTCAGGCATGTGATGACAGGGAGGACTCAGGCGGTGAGTACCCCACTCTCCCCACCCTGCCCAGCTCTCCACACTCAGCGGCTACTTCCCAGGCCTCACCCCAAACCCACCTCTGGCCAGCAAAGCCCTCCTGG